GTCTGATACAATGCTACAAAAGTCAGGATATAAAGCTAAAACTGAAGAAAATTCCCCATCGCCCCCACTCGAGGAGTCCCTCCTCCCCCGGTAGACCCAGTTCCTTCCTCCCTTTCCCGTACTCGCCGCCGGTAGAAGTCCCACTCGTTGTCCTTCCCAGGAGACCGTCCTGGACCCACCTCCGTTTAGTAATTGTCGTTTTTGAAACCCTTCTTTTGAATTTGTACAAAATTTTTCACTGTATGAGTCGTAGTATTTTTACAGGCAATGATCAAGATGTTTACGGAGTGTAACCTTGTGCACGGTGACCTCAGTGAATTCAATATGCTTTATCATAATGGGCTTGTTTATATCATCGACGTTTCACAGGTTTTTTTTTTAAGTTAGATACATTCAGTTTTTGCCAAAGGATGCGCAGGTTTATTCTGGTATATGTCCTATTTCTGTGCCTATCTGTTTAAATGTATCATTTCGAGCTTAAATTTATCCTCTTGAAACTCCTTTTACATCCTTTTTTTGCTGAATTCTGCATATTTCGGCTAAGAATTGCATTCTTGGAGCCAAATTCTGAATTTCAGGCTAATTTTTTCCTGGCTAACTTCTGCTGCTTTTCGTTTTCTTGTGTTTTTTGTATTTCGCAGCTTAGTCAGTGCCATAGAGCAGTTGCTACCTGTTTTGGGATAGACCTATGAAGTGCAATATATTTTGTGCTACATAATTCGTATCGCTTTTTGTGCGTTTTGTGCTGTGTAACAGCAGTACAAAACGCATGTTGTCACGGGGTTTTCTGTGTGTGTGTGTTTGTTTGTGTGTGTGTGTGTTTGTATGTGTGTGTGTGTGTGTGTGTGTGTCTCTGCAGCAACTTGTTGAGTTTTTTTACAGTAGGACCGAAAAATTTGAAACTTGGGGAGGTAGATCAAATGTCATGGAAATACCCTTACTGAAGTATTAACATTGTTGGAACTAGTATTTTCGAACGAAATATCTGTTATGGTAACGAAATATCTGTTAGGCTAATTTTCAAAATTTCTAAAAGCATCAATTATTTGGTATTTTGATGAACTGAAACCAATTCAGCAGTTGATGTTTCAGGCAGTTGACATTTCGCATCCGCGAGCACTTTTCTTCCTTGTTCGTGACATCGAAAATGTGCTAGAGTTTTTTGCAAAATTGGGCATCGATAGCTTACCGTCAGCTACGGATTTTTTCAACGAAATTACTGGTCTGAATATGGACCCCGACAACAATCTGCTTGTGCAGGTCTGCTCTGTGTTTTTTTTGGTGCAACAGCCCGGACAACATGTATTTTTGCCCCAAACATGCGTTTGTTAGTTTTCTGTACCGAAAAAAAGGCACTATGGAGGTATCCCAAATTATTGTAGGATGTTTAGGTTAAAATAGTTCACTGTATTCGATTCCAGCTACTCAGACGGCTCCATAGTACGATTAGAGCTTGCTTAAAGTTACTGGAGCTTATATCTCACGTTATTTCGTGATTATCTGGCATGTTTTAAGGGGAGAGGGGGTAGATGTTTTGATCGGATTTTTGTGAAAAGAATTCCCGCTGATACGGCCTGACTTACCGAAAGCTCTTTTATAGAGACAGTATGTATACATTACAGGCGTAGCGAGTCATCTTGTGCACTGGCACGCAATGTTTTTGGCAGATTTGACAGATTTCTTTTTATAGCGCCTTCACAAATTAGGCTTCCAGAGTCAACCTGGATGTTACAGTCGGCTTATTATGCATTTTGTGCTGTGTAGCAGCAGTACAAAACGCATATTGTCACGGGGTTGTGTGTGTGTGTGTGTGTGTGTGTGTCCGCAACAACTTGTCTACAACTTTCAACTCCTCAATCACAAAAGCTAGGAAGCTTGAAATTTAGGGGAACTATTCCCCATCCACGTGACTGTGCAAATTTAAATTCAGCCTCTCCATACCCGTCGGTAACACATATGGCCTCGTAAAGGTTTCGGCGGGAAAAATTATTTCGGGAACCGCGGAATCAAGGAAGCTGAAATTTTATGGGTATGTCTCCTGCCCATGTGCGGTCCAGAAAATTTAAACCCAGCCTTCCCGTATTCACGGGTAACATATATGGCCTCGTGAAATTTTTGACAGGTAAACAAGTGTCTCGGGAACCGCCGAATCTAGGAAGCTGAAATTTTAGGGCAATGACCTCCTACCCATGCGCAACCCCTCAAATTTAAATTTGAAGCAGTGAAAATCATTAGCAGGCAATGGTTCGGTGGATGAAATTACACAAAACGCATGATCGCACCGGCTGCCCTGGTGCGCGCCGCTATTTATCTTTGGTTTGCTCCGTGTTTTTCGATGTCTTTTGATGCAGGAAACTGAACGTGTATGCCATGTTCCGTAATATATATGCTGCAGGTTGAACATTTCGAGAAAGATAATCGCAACGCTCAGTTACGCTACGACAAGGCAAACCCGGCTGATATGGAGTTGCGTTTGTACGATGCTGAAGTTGCTCTGACTAATGAGGATCCGGCGGAATCGTACAACTGATCGTCGCTTGCTTCATCGAAACTGTCTACTTTTAGCGCTCAGGATGTAGAGAATCGGAATTAGGAATTGGCACTGCTGCAGGGTCTGATAGTGTTTCGCTGCGGAATTTTCTTAATACTTTTTAAAAACTGTATATTTCTCAGCTCTTGGTTTTAGCATCCATTATTAGAGTAGATAATCCTCTCTTCCTGATTCGGTATAAAATAAAGTTCTGTCATCAAATGCTAAATCTAATAACTGATATGTGACCGCGAATATTTTTTGGTGTTCATCTATCTGTATGTGGTTCAAAATCGGAATTGATACACCGTCGAAAGACCAATTTTTCCACTGAATTTGTCGGTAGAGG